TTTGCAAGAATAGTTAACTATCACTCATTTCTCATATTGTATGAGGACATCTTATTGCAGTTCTGTTTGTGACCATATATCTTCTAAACAATTTAAAGAAACTCTCTATATGTTGGTTAATGTCATGATAAAAAGCCATAGACTAGACCGACTCAAGCTGAAATTCCTTTCCCCCATNAAAGCCATAGACTAGACCGACTCAAGCTGAAATTCCTTTCCCCCATATTGACCTTTTCGCTGCATCTTTCACATCCTTGTTTCTTAGGCTATAAATAAGTGGGTTTAGCATGGGGGTCACCAAAGTATAAAACACAGCAGAGACCTTCTCCTGGTCCAGGGAATACTGAGAGCTTGGCTGGATGTAACTGAAGGTTGCAGACCCATAGAATAAGGTCACGGNTTACAGATGTCTCAGAGATTTCACTCTATCTTTCCAGCTAAGGCTGAATCTCTAAAGTATGAATCTTCTTGTGATTCAGAAAAAAAATTATACCACTTCTGTGCCTAATGCAATGCAGGATCAGAGTCTGGGAAATGCTTTGAGGACACCTACATAGGAACTGCTGCTGACACCCCTCTAGCAGGACTGTGAGTCCTCTAAGCACAGCAAGAGTACAAGAGTCTCCAACCTGCCTCTGAGGCCCAGATCATCTCTTTACACTCTCCACCCACCCCCTTTGTTCCAATATCCTGTGGGAAAGAACAGCTGTGTGTTTAAGCTGCTATATAATACAGTACCTCTTTGAGCCTACATAACTGCTAACATACAGCTCTATGGTTTTCTTTCCCCCAGAGCAGTCACAGGGCACAAGTTCAGAATCAGTAGGTCTTCCTTTTGGCAGATCACAATATTTAATATTTATACTGTTTGGGATACCACAAAGTTCTTGCCTGATTTCAGAAGTCTCCATTTAATTCTGTCCCTGTACCTATTACCTATTATCTATCTATCTATCTATCTATCTATCTATCTATCTATCTATCTACCGATCAATCTATCATCTATCTCTCTATATCTATCATCTATTTACTTATCATCTATGACCCATTGTCTCTTTGTCCCTATAGCTATCTCCATCCATGTAGCAGCCCAGGGCTGCTTAGGCTCACCATATGACTAATGCCCTGAAAGGAAATACACCCATATGTGATGAAACCTGCAAAGTACCTGCCAAAAGCTCTACTGATGCATCTGAGAGCTTGCTGAGCTCTCCATGCACCATAGGCCTCCATTGTCAAGAGTGCCCCGAAACAGTGAGATAAGAGTCAGCTCACCTCTCCATGATTACACCTCTCTGAGTTCTAAACCACTCCAGTCCTCTTTTCCTGAAATAGCTAGCTACTCCATTTTATCAAACAATGCCATCTGTATTTATCTTGCTTTTCTTGTTATTTTTGCAAAACTGCTGATTTAATGACCAGCTACTCCATCCATTTAGAAGGAAAAACATTCCATCATTTTGTAAGCACTTTGAACGGTTTTCCTAACCATATATTTTGATACATTTTAAACTTACAGTTGAAATACAAGAAAAATACAAATTTGCAAGAATAGTTAACTATCACTCATTTCTCATATTGTATGAGGACATCTTATTGCAGTTCTGTTTGTGACCATATATCTTCTAAACAATTTAAAGAAACTCTCTATATGTTGGTTAATGTCATGATAAAAAGCCATAGACTAGACCGACTCAAGCTGAAATTCCTTTCCCCCATATTGACCTTTTCGCTGCATCTTTCACATCCTTGTTTCTTAGGCTATAAATAAGTGGGTTTAGCATGGGGGTCACCAAAGTATAAAACACAGCAGAGACCTTCTCCTGGTCCAGGGAATACTGAGAGCTTGGCTGGATGTAACTGAAGGTTGCAGACCCATAGAATAAGGTCACGGCGGTCAGGTGGGAGGCACAAGTGGAGAAGGCTTTGCGCCTCCCCTCCGCTGAGCGAATTCTCTGGATGGCAATGATGATGCGGATGTAAGAGAGCACTATGGTGGTCAAAGTAAGCATGCCAATAACCCCAGTGAATATCAAAACCAGCATCTCATTGTTATGTGCATCAGAGCAAGAGAGCTTCAGAAGAGGGGGGATGTCACAGAAATAATGATTCACAATGTTAGGACCACAGAAGTCAAGTTTGAACAGGCCTATTGTGTGTGTCAGTGAGTTAATGAGCCCACCCAAGTAAGACACAAGGACCATCCCAATACAAAGCCTTTGGGTCATAATGACTGTATACAGCAAGGGGCTGGCTATTGCTGCATAGCGGTCATAAGCCATCATAGACAGGAGGATGCCTTCTGTGGTTCCATAGAGTTGAAAAAGGAAACTCTGCAGAAGACAGCCAGCAAATGTGCTGGATTTATGTATTGATAAGAAATTGACCAGCATCTTGGGAGCAAAGACAGTAGAGTAGCAGATATCACAAAAAGACAGGTTGCTAAGAAAGAAGTACATGGGCGTGTGAAGGTGGGCATTGAACCAGATCAAGATGATCATCCCCCCATTACCTGTCAGAGTGATTAAATAAATAAGGGAGAAGAGCACAAAGAGAGGAATCTGCAGATTAGGATTTTCGGTTAAACCTACCAGAAGGAATTCTCTCACCCCTGTGTGATTCCAGCCTGCCATGCCTGCAGGTTTATCTAGCTCTTTAGCTGTAGAACAAAATGGTATCACTCAGATGGAAAATAAGTGATGAAGTCCTCCATGATCCAGCATCCGTATAGCAAGGAACATTTAGGTTTACCCTGTAGTTAGATGAAGAAAAGAAATGAACTTCAGCAGTGGGCCTTATGTGTGCCTGATAATCCATTTGTGGTGATTCTTCCTACTGGAACTAGAGATGACTTTATTCCCTGATTCTCAGTTTCCACAACATAAAATTGGTGGGATCTAGTGAACAAAATAAACTGATGAACAAGATAGATGCAGACACGTAGGAACTGTGGAGCAGTCAGACAAAGTTCAGAGGGAAGGTGGGGGTAGGGATGGGGGGGATTAATCAAAGAATTTAGATGCATGCATATATGACCTATAGACACAATAGTGTAGAGACCTGGAGGTGGGGGGTTGCCTGGTGGAGGGGTTCATTGGGGGAAAAGGGGGACACCTGCAATACTTTAAACAATAAAGAAATTGGGATAAAAAAAACCTATAAAAGAACTGGGATAAGAAACTCTTAGATCATGAATCTATCAATTGTTAAAATTGACATGCGCACCCAGACATGCCTCGAGCCAGACCTCTGGCTGATTCTATGGTATTTAAACATCCTGTGCTTTTATGAGCTACAAACTGATTGGCCTTCCATGACAGCAATTTTTTCTTTATCCTGTGTCTAAGCTCTTCTGATTTTTTCACACCCAGTTTACTCATGAAACTGACCTCCGTAGTATTCAACCCTCTTCCTTTCAAAATCTCAAACATCAAAACTCTTTTCCTTCAGCCTTCTGCTCAGATTCCCCCCTTGGAAGATCAATGACTGTGCTCTCNAAGAACTGAGATAAAAAACTCTTAGATCATGAATCTATCAATTGTTAAAATTGACATGCGCACCCAGACATGCCTCGAGCCAGACCTCTGACTGATTCTATGGTATTTAAACATCCTGTGCTTTTATGAGCTACAAACTGATTGGCCTTCCATGACAGCAATTTTTTCTTTATCCTGTGTCTAAGCTCTTCTGATTTTTTCACACCCAGTTTACTCATGAAACTGACCTCCGTAGTATTCAACCCTCTTCCTTTCAAAATCTCAAACATCAAAACTCTTTTCCTTCAGCCTTCTGCTCAGATTCCCCCCTTGGAAGATCAATGACTGTGCTCTCTAAAGACTTGAGTCAGGAAAACAGGTGCAAGAGTCTTTTCACTTGCTGTTTAATATTAAGGCCAATCAAAGCAAAGCAGTGCAATTTAACTTGATCACTCTTTCCTTTCATATTTCTATAACTTCACCCTCACACAGTTGGGATCTTATCAGCATTTAAACAACAAACACAAAACCCAATGAAGAGAGGAAAGCTGTACCTATGAGGGACCAAAACTATAGCTACCCAGACTTAACTGTATCAAGTACGTTCTCCTTTCAAAAATATAGGCTGCTACTTCATTTCATTTGGTTTTTGACATGACATAATACTAATTCAACAACATTTATGGTTAAATATTGATAAATCAGGTCATTCATGTATAGTTTCCTCCATTCACTCAACATATATTACTTGATACTCTGTGCCAAGAAATGTTATATTTGCTAGAGATGATGCAGTGAATGAGGAAAATGTCGTGCTTTTAAGGAGCTTGCATTTTAATAAAGAAATAAATAGATACTTATTGATATACACTGATAAGTGTTGTGAAGAAAAGTAAAGGAAGGGAGGTGAATAGTCAGAGCTGGCAGATGCTCTACTGTATGGTGTATTACTATCCTATGGCTCTGTGACAACTCACCTGAAATTGGTGGCTTCCAAAAACAACCATGCTGTTCATGCGGGGCACCCTGTGAGGCATCAGACCCCCCAAGAAGGATATGTGAGCTGGGCTCTCATGGAACTTGAAGTCCACTGAGGTCAGCATATGGGTAAGCTTGGGATGCAATCTTCAGGGTATTTCTAAAGCAAAATGAAAATCTTCATTCTATGAGTATATAAGCTCATCCCTTGCAGACGGAGATTATAAATTAGATCCTGTCTATAGTTAAGATCAGCCACTTTGGTAAAATCAATGAATCCGAGTCTAACTGTATCCAAGGAAAAGAGGGAATAACTTGTTGAAAGTGAAAACAATTTGGTGGTTTTTTTAATGATACTATTTTTAATGCCATAAGAAAACCATGTTAATGGACCAGATTGTAAAATACAGAATCAAAGTTTCATAACCTGAAAATAACCTCAATTAAAAACACCTTTAGAGGTGAAGAGACATTAGTGTGTTTCTTAATGAAACGTTTTTTTTCTGCAAGGCCCCTTAGTGTAACTGGGAACATTACATCAGGGGAAATAGAAAATGATTTTTGNATGGACCAGATTGTAAAATACAGAATCAAAGTTTCATAACCTGAAAATAACTTCAATTAAAAACAACCTTAGAGGTGAAGGGACATTAGTGTGTTTCTTAATGGAACACGTTTTTTACTGCAGGGCCCCTTAGTGTAACTGGAAATATTACATCAGGGGAAATAGAAAATAATTCTAAAAATATCACCATTGGAATCATAAAATTAAATTATATCTAAAATATTTCAAAAAAATATTGTTATATAAGATTGGAAAGAAACAATTTTTTGAAATACATTACAATTCTCAGATATCCCACTTTCCATAGAATATCTGAAATTTTTCATAAATACACAAGTAGCTTTAGATTCTATATAAACCAAATATTAAATACCACGAACATACATGCATAAATATTAAATACAGATATTACGTAAATACTANATTAAATACCATGAATATACATGCATAAATATTAAATACAGATATTACATAAATACTGCCCTTTTTTACAAAATAAGAGAACAGTAGAAAGATAAATACACCATAGGTTAGGAATTGGCTGGCTCCTGGGAAAATACTGAAATCATAAGAGCTGGTAACAGATTCTTTTAGTGTGGAGAGAACAGGAAATGTCAAAAGCTTAAATAAACCCTCATAACTGCTACTAAACATACTCAGGGCTCAGAAAAGTCAACACTAAGCAGAGTATCTACAATCGACCACCATTTCAGGATCCTTCAGGCACTTAAGGCTGAGAGGGGGGATTTTTATGCTTGCTGTCTTTTCTTTTGGGATCGCACACTGTGTCTCCTCGTGTGGACGGAATCTCAGGTGTCCACAGGATGGATCATTAGCATCTTTCCCTTTGGGTGTTTTTAATGATACTTTTTTTAATGCCATAAGAAAAGCTTGTTAATAAAACCAGATTGTAAAATACAGAATCAGAGTTTCATAACCTGAAAATAACCTCAATGAAAACTTTAGAGGTGAAGGGACATTAGTGTGTTTCTTACTGGCACACGTTTTTTTCTGCAAGGCCCCTTAGTGTAATGGAACATCCCATCAGGGGAAAGAGAACTAATTTTGGGACTGGAACTAATCAGAGTAGCAGGTCTTCTCAATAGTTATTCATGACTATAACTAAATGTTAACAATCATTCACATTAAAGTTTTATGATTACACACAGAGAGAGAGAGAGACAGAGAGACAGAGACAGTGACAGAGAGAGAATTAATTGAGTTGTATGCTCTCCTTTGGGAGTATTTAAATAAAAATCTATGCTTTCTTTCTCTCTAATAATTTATTAGGCATCATAGCGCTGTGGATAGTGTGGAGATTTTGCTTATAANTAATAGGCATCATAGCACTGTGTATAGTGTGGAGATTTTGCTTATATTGCACATAGGTTTATTAGCTATTTTACATAATTTTATATTGAGCTCTCTTCAATCATACAAATAATATATGCATTATGTGTGTGTTTGGAAAGGGTAGTAGATGGTTTTCTTAAGTTCTATTATTAATTCATTAGCATGTCTTAGATATTTTAACATATAAGTAGAGTAAGTTATATGTAGATAAAAATAGTGAAGTCTCGTCTCAATCCAAATATTATACAAAATTTGAAGAATTATGACTATTACAGTGGTGATGATACTGATAGAACATTAGCACACCTTTAGATACAAATGGAAGATGTTACATAAGAGAACAAACTTGATTAGAACTAATAGCAGTGTATCGGTTAGAAATTTTGGCAAGTCTTCGCTACCATACTTCACAGTGTTTGCCACTAAGGGAAAGTTTGATTCTCAACCAACACTCACTCCCAATCTCTGTCTTTCCATCAACGTGACAAAGTTTATCTCATGTGTTTCAATATATTTTATATTCTGAGAAAAATATTTATGAATGTATTCCCTTCAAAATAAATATTTAGTTTGTTCTTGAAATATGATCTACAAATTACTTTGTCTGATGNAATACTTAGTTTGTTCTTGAAATATGATCTACAAATTACTTTTTCTGATGTCAATAGAAACATTGGCATTATTCAACTCATGCCATAAATCTCTTTTGGGCCTGACATCCAGTGCTCAATGTCAATAAAATAAAGATGCAGAGTTATCACATAGACTTTATTTATGACCTCAATTAAGTGCACATATTTTCACAGATGAAACAGCAATTTTAGTATTTTGTTTGTGTATTGCATTATTTTTATGACTGAAATGTCATGTAGCACTTCAGCAGTATCTCTCCCCATAGACAGGAGCAGAAAACTAAATTTAATGCATGTGATTGTCACAAATATCAAACTTTATGCTAACTTCTTCTCAACTCTGGTTTATTCCATAAACATATATTCAGCTTTAATTTCATATTTGTTTCATCAAAATTATGTGTCACTCTTCTCTGTTTATGGGTATTATCAGAGTAGATCTTAAAAATGCAATGAAATTAAGAAAATAATGGGGCACAAAATTAATAAAATCACAGCTGAGATGTTCTTATCACATTATTATTCTGACATGTTCAGGCAGTGACCTCACTCTAATGCCTTGAGGTCAAAAAAATAGTGTTGAGCAAGTTTAGTGATTCTCTCCTTGGGGTAATTCTGCCTCTGAGGGA